ACTCCATCAATATTTTTAGATAAAAAAAATGAAAAAGGCATTGTGTTTCTAGTTTCTAGCTGGAAATGCAAAGTTAATAAAAAAAAAAACTTACAACTGTATAAACCTGATGCTCAATTAGCACTGCACCTGTATCTGGTACTTTCTCATTGTTGTAACGAAGGATTTAAGAGCCTGTGGGACTCATGGTTTAAAGGTAAAATCCATCATGGAGGAAAGGCCCAGCAGGCCATGCCATGTCCACAGTCGAGAAGCAGAGAGATGGACACTGGTGCTCAGCTGACTTTCTCCTTCATATCCAGTCTAGAACCATCAGCAGTCAGGAAGCGGAGAACAATGGATGCTGGTGCTCAGCTCACTTTCCCCTTTCTATTCAGTATGGGACCCCAGCCCAGGGGATGGTGCTGCCTACATTCAAGGTAGGTATTCCCTCCTCTCTTAAACCCTTCTGGGAATCTATCTATCTATCTGTCTTCCTGTGCTGTCATTACTTGTTTGTTTCTTGGCACTTTTGGGGGGCCCACCACCCAGCTCCCAAATAAATTACACCCAGACACTTATTCTTAATTACAAAAGTCCGGCCTTAGCTTGGCTTGTTGCTAGCCAGCTTTACTTAAATTATCCCATCTAGCTTTTGCCTTTGGGCTTTTACCTTTCTCTATTTCTGTATACCTTTCATTATTTCTTACTCCATGTCTGGCTGTGTAGCTGGGTGGCTGGCCCCTGATGTCCTCCTTTTCCTTCTCTTGCTCTTCTTCTCTTTCTCCCAGATTTCTCCCTCTATTTCTTCTCTCTGCCTACCAGCCCCACCTATCCTTTCTCCTGCCTTGCCATTGGCCATTCAGCTCTTTATTAAACCATCAGGTGTTTTAGACAGGCACAGTAACACAACTTCGTAGAGTTAAACAAATGTAACATAAACAAAAGTAACACACCTTAAAATAATATTCCCCAACAATTACTCATGCTCTTTTCTCTGCTTTCCATGTTCTTTTGTCTCCCTTGCTCTGTCTGATCACTCATTCGTTGGGTCTTGTTGCTTTCTCTGAGAAAGCTCTCCCGAGCTGAGCCCCAAGTCTGAGTTTAACACTCCTGTCCACAACCATAGTGCCCTGTGATCACTACTAAATACCTGTCAGCATCCATGGATGCAACTGCCTCTATATGTGTCTAGTTTACCCTGAGGTTTCCAGAGGGAACCCAGAGGTAACCAGGGTTGTGTCTCTAGCCAGTGGAGATGGCTACAGCACAGACTTAACCTCAGCAGAAAAGCCACACATGTCACCTAATGCCAGGGAATTGGAGGCACCTTGGAGTAGCATCTAACAATATAATAGAAACAATGCTCTTTGGAAACACTGAACACCCCTCCCACATGAAACTGAGATCTGAGTTAAACCTCACCACTGGATGTTGTTGAGGTCTGCTAACTAAATCTGATTTGTAAACCCCAAAGTAAGGAAGAAGTTGAGACAGAAAGTACTGTAGCAGGCCTTTTCTTCGGGCCGAGGTCTTTTCTTTGGGCCACCATCTTACAAAAAAAAATGATACAGAGACTTATTATTAATTATGAAAGCTTGGCCTATAGCTTAAGCTTGTCCTAGTAGCTCTTATAACTTAAATTAACCCATTTCTATTCATCTACATGCTGCCATGTGACTCGTGGCTTTTAACTCTCCTCCAGAATGTCTTGCTCCCTCTGTGTTCAGCTGGCAACTCTCCCTTTTTCCCAGACATCTCTCTGTCTAGGAGTCCCACATATACCTCCTCCTGTCTAGCTATTGGCCAATCAGCTCTTTATTAAACCAATGAGAAGGTGCCTTGGCAAAGACACATCTTCACAGTGTACAGAAAGATTATTCCACAACCAAGTGTAAATGAGAGTGAGCCTGTACTGACACTCCTAATTGTAACCATGGCCTTGCCCTTGCCATGTGGCTTACAGACATCTGCCTAGAAGAACCACAGTTCCTGGTCTACCTCCTCCTGTCTAGCTATTGGCCAATCAGCTCTTTATTAAACCAATGAGAAGGTGCCTTGGCAAAGACACATCTTCACAGTGTACAGAAAGATTATTCCACAACCAAGTGTAAATGAGAGTGAGCCTGTACTGACACTCCTAATTGTAACCATGGCCTTGCCCTTGCCATGTGGCTTACAGACATCTGCCTAGAAGAACCACAGTTCCTGGTCTCATTGATGTCAGCTTGACCCATGGTTTGCTTCGGCCAACAGAACGGGAGCTGTAAAGGCTTTTTTCTCATAGGTTGTTTTTCATTACCTTCCACAAGAGCAGCATATGCCAAAGTGGGGGAGAGAGCCCTACCACCTAACTTCTGGGCCCGCCATCAGATGAACAGGCAAAGTGAGAAGGGAATGAGCCAGTGCTGCTGGAGGCCACTAGGGTTAAGAGGTTTTGCCATAGCATCCCTTAGGCTAAGCTGTGGAGGTGAGCACCAGCAGAGGGACTTGGCTAACTCCAGAATGCCTGCTTGTGGCGGAGTCAGTGGATCCTGTCACCATGGGGATGCAAGCTCAGTCATACCAGAAGAGCCTAGCCACGCATGGTGACATGTTTGTACTCCAAAAACTCAGGAGACTGAGGTAGGATTTAAGGCAGCTGAAGGGACAACGTAAGCTAAACATTGAGACACCATCTCCAAAACTAAGAGCAGGAACAGACAAGGACCCTGGCTGTAGTACACCAGTACAGCATCTTCTAAGCAGGCTTGAGACTGAGTTCATCCCAGCACCAAACAAGAAAACTGAAGAAGATAAAGAGATGTTATGCCAGCAGGGAAGTGCATGCCTGTAATCCCAGTAGTTGGGAAATAGGGGAGCCAGGAAGGCCAGGAGTTCCAGGGCAGCTGCACAACGGGTCTGAGCCTGTCAAAACGTCAAAGAAGCAAAGAATAATCTGGTTTTTCCATTTAATATCCTGCTTTTAAATTGAACTATACCTCTGTATCAGTCAGGGTTCTCTAGAATCACAGAACTTAGAGAGTTGTCTTCTGTATATTCTGGAATTCTGAAGACTCAGGCTCCAATGCCAGCGAAGGAATGGATGTGCTGGCAAGGTGAGGACAGGCAGGTGAAAAGAACCAACCCTTCCTTCTTCCACTGTCCTTACACAGGCTGCCAGCAGAAGGGGTGTGTCTCCCCACCTCAAGGTCTGGATAAGAGGTGTGTGTCATCCAGTCTCAAGATCCTGCTGGAAGGCATCTTGTATTCCTGCCTCAAGATCCAGATCACAAGTGTACCCTCCATTTCTGGATTGCAGTTCACTCCAGATGTGGACAAGATGACAGGCAAGAAGAGCCATCATAACCTCTGGACAACGACATATAGTCTTTGATGAAATCCACACAGCCACAGGTGGGACAAATAGGGACTACGTTGCAATCTCTTGTCTGTTCCCTGCTTTTCTCAAGTCTAAAGAGTATTATCTGACCCATCTCTCTAACAGGGTCACTTTGAGCATCATGTATGTATGACTTTGTGTTTCCTTATGTTTAAAAAAGCTTGCAAAGGAAGAAAACGAATCCAGGAGGTAGAGCATTCTGACTAGCAGCCTGGCCATGCTAAAGGAACAGCCACAAGGAAGCCATTAGCACAAACCACTGTCTCAACTTTCCTGTACCATTTTCCTTGGCCCTCCATGTAAAACAAAAAAAATGTTCTCCCTGGCAGACGTGACCAGCATGGAACTGTCTTCAGAAATCATCCCAGCCAGGTGTAATTCGGAGACGTTAGGAGGCAGAAATAAATGGCTAAAACAAGGAAGATAGGTGTTGGTCTGTGTCCACTGACCCAAGCTACTTTCCTCCTTTCCAACATAATTTCATGTTTGTCCGTGTCATTGCAGGGACTCTCCCAACAGCACTGAGAGGAAAGTAGCCAAGCACACACAGAACCAACAACCTATGAGATTGCTAGTAGATGGAACACCTCAAACACCTTTGGTTTAACTCTTGGGCCCTGACTCAAAATTCTCAAAAGACAGTTTGTGTTTACCTGACACATTTGCATGATGGAAGTCAAAGGCAGGCTCTGATGATGCTCCTGAACAATGATGACTGGGAAGGAAAGGGGTAAGGTAATGTTTTTTTCCAGTTGCGTTTTTTCACATTTCTTTTCTATTAAGCAAATCGGCCGCTAGAGGTCCCCATGTGGCTCCATTTCCACACTCCCTTCTGTGACTCAGGCTGACATCCAGTTCCCATCCTGAGAAGTCACCAGGTTTTGCATTTTTTTAATCTGGGTAGGACAGGGCAACGAGTTCGCCTGAAGGAACCGCATGTCTGTATTAGCTCAAGATCAGTTCCTGCTCCGCAGAGCCGAGGAAGAGCTGACTAGTCTTCCAAAGACCTTCAAAGCAGCCCTTGCTCGCCTGCATCCTGAGCCTGGGAGAGTGGCTGCCTAGGATTCCTGTGGGCTGTGTTCCTGTTAGCCCGGATCTCCTTCACGGTCCACACCCTTCCTTATAACCTGCTTTACTACGGGGCTTGGCGTTTGCCTGTTTTTGCTTTCTACTGTTTACTTTTGTTATTTTAAAATGCATTTTAAAGGAAACTGCTTCTACAGCCACGTGGACACTGGAGTTCAATTTGAATTCCAGTTTCCTGAAAAATTTCTCCTGTCTCATGTCTTTTTCATTACTGTTTGAATTGTCACAAATTTGAAAGCTTTTTAGTTCTCAAGAGCATCAATTCATACATAAGAAGTCACTTTCTTAATGAACCATACGGACTTCCACATTAGAAACATTCGCATTCTACAGCAGTCTAGCACCGGCCCTGACCTCACAGCTTATCTTTTTGTCCAATTGAGTGGTTCCTGGCGCTACCTTGCCATGCCCACTTCATTTACATAAAGTAAATTTAACACAGCCGGCAATTCTTTGAAATGAAGATTTTAATTACACACATCTTCTCAGTTAGGCAGCCCTCTGGTTATCTTTATTAACAGACACTAAATAACTTTGCATCATTTAAGTGCTCTCCAGTGTGTATCAACTGATAGAGGCCCGGGGAAGGTGGACCTGAGAGATACCGGCCAGTAGGCAGGGCCAGGGAATAATATTTAGCCTTCCTGGCTGAGCTAAATGACACTCCCAACATGCAGGATACTGTAACCGGTGAGGCATCAACATCAGGTGAGTGAGTATTTTCAGTTTGATGATGTTTCATTTATTAAATCATTAATTGCGTCAATTTTGGTTTTCTTACCTAACTGAACAAATGAATTGAGTAGTATGTTAATGTCAGTCTCATGGGTGGGTTTTACTAGGATTCAGCTGGCAATGAGAGCCAAGGACAAGGGTGCCCACCATTTGGGGCACAGTCTGAATCACAGTCTCCCAGTATAAGAAATTTGCTTCAATTCTAAGCCTAGACAGAATTAAAAGAATTGTATCAACTACGAGCAATATCTTTATATAAATAAACATGTTACTTTGTTTGGGCTATGAAGAGACTCATTTCCAAGCCAAAGTTTGTAGTGAAGGTTCAGGTAGACTTGTGACCTTTCTTTTTCAAAAGTAGTATATCCAGTTTCTCCTGCTGAAAAGAGACAAGCTGTGAGTGAGCATGAACTCTGAAACCGTGAAGGGTTTCTCTTTGTGGAACTCTTACTACAAAACTAAAAACTAAACAAACAAACAGAAAACCTTTTTAATTGGTTTAGGTGTTCTATGGCTGGGGTGAATCTAAGCTAGTGTGTTCATTAAAATAAATTCCATGTATTATTAAATTCCTTTAAAGTAGCTTTATTTTTTGGCCTCCCTCTGGGCATATTTTAAGCAATGTTCTCTCAAACACAGTGATTCTGTGTTAGAAATGCAAGGGCCCAGAAGGCAGAGGAGGAGCAGGGAGCTGTGTGAAGCGGAGTTTGCCCATAGGCATAGCTGTGATCTGGGTCTGAGTGAGCAGAAAGGTGCAGAGCTTTCTGTGGGATGCAGGGATGGGATCCAGACTCCCCTGCAGATGGAATGAAGCAGGAGTTAAGAACATGGTACAAGGAACAGCAAATCTGGGTTCAAATCTAAAAGTCTGGAAAACATTGAGACAAATCATAGTCCCTCCCTTGGCTTCATCTGGAAAACGTGGGCAATGTCGGTACCTGTCTCATAGTAACAGCAGAAGAGCTAAGAAAAGTACTAATACAATGTACTCATTCCAGCACCCAAAACAAGACAAAAATCTGTTTATTGCATATTAAGAATCACCATCATAGTAAGTATTGATAAGTACCACTAATAGGTGCTAGCTATGATGATCATGACAGACTGGAGAACAAAGCTGAATATATGGCTGAATAGTACTCCATAGCATCTGTTTATTACATGCTGATGGCCTTAGGCTGCTTCCACATCCTAGTGCACACGAGTAGAGCTGCAGTAAGCATGACATGTGGGTATCTCTGGTGAGCTGATTCCACATCCTTTCAATACTCACCACTAATAGAACAGCTATGTAATACGTTTGGGGGAGCTCCATACTGTGTTCACAGTGACTGCAGTAATCCATGTCCCTACCAACTCTTTGTAAGAGTTACATTTACTCCAAGTCCTCAACACTTGTTTTGGGTTTTTTTTTTGGGGGGGGGGGTTGTTTGTTTCTTTCTTTTTTAAAGAATACCTATTCCAGCTAGCATGGGGGCACATACCTTTAATCCCAGCACTCAGGGTCAGAGGCAGGTAGATCTCTGTGAGTTCAAGCCAGTCTGGTCTACACAGCACATTGTAAGCCAGTCAGGGTTAAACAGTGTGACCCTGTCTCAAAGCAAGAAGCTGGCAAGACAGCTCCATGATTCAGAGCCCTTGTAGCTCTTGCAGAGTTCTGTTCCCAGCACCCACTCAGCAGCTCACAACTGTCTGTAGCTCCCCTCCTAGGGAATCTGGCCTCATCTGGCCTCCACCAGCACTGTGCACACACAAGGTGCATGTGCATACATGCAGGAAAACACTCATACCTATGAAATAAAAATCAGTAAATCTTTTTTCAATAGTTGTTCCAGCTGGAGTGAGATGGCAATTCCCTGGTGGGGGCTAGGGCTCCTCCACACACCAGTGGCCTCCTCGATTTTTTTCAAGAAGAGTCTGTTCAGATTATTTCCCTATTTTTGAGGACTTCTCCATGTTTTTAAGTATTGGAGTTCTCGGTGTGTTCTGCATAGTAACCTTCTACCGGATGAATAGTTGACAAATTCTGTGCCATTCTGTATGCTGTAGGAAACACATTTTAAATGACTTGTCCACCTTTTCCTTTCAGGCCATTCTCTTACAATTGCCCTTTTTATATCTTCAACTGCAGGTTACCAAGAAGAACATTCGACATCATTGCCAGACTTAGGTAGAACCCATGTTTTTACATAACACATTTCCATAGTTAAGAGCACTTGTTGCTCTTGCAGAGGACCTGGGTTCAATTCCCAGCACCCACATGGCAGCTCACAACTGTCTGTAACTAACTCTAGTTCTATGGGATCTAATGCCACTTCTGGCTTCCACAGGCACCAGGTACATAAAGGTGCAAAACACACATGCAAGAAAATCCTCACACCCATCAAATAATATGATAAATCTTTTTTTAATAACCGTTCAAGCTGGGGTAAGATGTTAGCCCCCTGTGGGCTGTGGGAGGCTCATTTGAACTAACTTTCCTATCTGTATGCAGACTCTCTTCATGTGTCACCTGCTCCCCTGATACCTTCAACTGAACACTACCAAAGAGAGCATCTAATGTCATTGCCACCATCAGGTAGGTGCTGGGTTTTTATATAATGGGTTTCTAGCCATTAGAATCTTATCTGAGTCTTCAGTAAGGTGTATCTGCAACATCTTCTGCTGTCAACAAGCTGACACTAAAACATTGACCAGAAACATCCCACAGTTGCCTCTGGGGGTAGGCTCGCAAATTTCTTTCCTTTGGCTTTTTCCTAAGCAGAAATATTTCTGCAAAGAGAATCAATCATCTCATGCGCTGAGGAAATATTTAAAGGGTTTAGAAAAGCAAATGAACGAACACAATCCCTGCTTCTTAGAAAGCCTTTGTCAGCAAACAGTGCTTTCTGGTCAATGGAGGAAGACACATGATGCTGTTCACTGTTTTGTGGTTAATAAAATTTATGGAAAGGTTCATAGTGAAACTGATTCTCAAAGGATACAGTAGAGGAAAGAGCAAAAAGTCAGAGTGAATGCATGACACAAATCATTGGCAACAGTTTCTCATCTTAGTCTTTCCATTGTGAAATGGGAATTCATTCCCAAGTCCCAAACTGCCACACCTTCTATAACTAAGAGTATCAGAAAAGCAGCTGTAAATAGAACCACACAACTGCTTGAAGACTTCTACCATATCCTGAGAACGAGGTAGTGTTCTGGCCAATGCCTAATTCAGAGCTGTGAATGGTCCTGAAGCATTGCCCATTTTTCCTTCAGTTTTCTTGCCCCATGCTGACCTCAGACGTAGGTCTGGGGAGGGAGTTCTAACCCTCATGTCCTCTACAGACATCTCCTGAGATCTTTACATCAGGCTTGAGTTCAGCAACTGGCTGTGCTTCCTCTAAGGTGGTATAGAACAAAGACACTGTTCAATTTAAGCAATGAACTTGACAGAATACAGAAAACCAAACCACTCAACTCAGGGAAGAAGAATCTAGTGCTTGGAAGTGTGTGTAAATATAAGTAAAAGAGGTTCTGCTTAGCTGTGTTTCTTCAAGTCCAGGTTAAAAGTGAGATCTGTTTTGAGTAACATATAGCCTTTGTCCAACCCACCCCCCCACACACACACACACAACAAGGACCTCAGTTTCTCAATATTTCCATGCAGGTAGTAATCACACATGCTCAGTGCTGTTAGGAACCACTTGGAATTTTGTATCCAAGGCTACAAAAATATACAGTCAGACACAGAGAAAGTAAGGCCTCCACTTCAAGAAACCATCTCAAAAAAAGGTTGGCTTCTACTGCTTCTGGTTAATGGGGTTATGATGTATATTCAAAAATCGTGTGTATTTGTTACAAGAAAATGAGGCGAAAAGAGTTCTTGCTGAGCCCAGTCTAAGCCTTTCCTGGGCTTGTTTCCATTATTCTACAAGTTCTTTGCAAAAAGTATTTTATTTTCAGGTGAAAGAAACAGGAATTCAAAATGTTTTAAAAACACCTCTAGCCAGTGAATGGAGAATTTAGTGTGTAAATCTAGACAATTTCACTGTGGTATCCTCATACTCAACCAATGTCCCATGCCCCCAAGAAATAAAGTCATCTCATTTCTTTATCAACATGAAATATGCTTGAGATAATGTTCACCATTTTTGCTGTCTTAAGTGTTCAGTTTGCCCAGAGTGATGTATATTCATCACCACTGTCTGCTTTCAGAATATCCTCGTTATTCCAAAAAGCAATCATAGGTCCATTACCAGCCACTCCCTCCTCCTGTGCCCATAATACCACAGCAACTACTAATTCTCTTTCTACTGCTATGGATTTATTTATTTATTTTGTATATTTCAAATAAATAGATTCATACAACCGGTGGCATTTGTGAGGCTTGTTTCTCTTAGGATAACATGTTTATCTGTGTATATCGGGGCATGAAGTATTCATTCCTTTTTATGGCTGGATTGAATGAATGAATTATTCATTCACTGACTGACAGAAATTTAATAGCAATGTGTGTATTTGAGCTCTTGTGAATCAGGCTGCTATGACTATTCATATGCTATTTTGGGGGAGGATACCCATGTAAATATTCACAGAGGTCAAATTATGGAGTCATAGATACTTCATTTTGTTTGCTGAGTTGGCCCCAGACTTTCCTCACAGGACCTACACTATTTACTTTTCTCCCACCAGGGTGTAAAGATTCCAGTTTCTCCAGATCTTTGCTCACACTTGTAATTTCCACCTTTTGAATTGCTGATGGTCCTTGACTTACCCTGGGGTAATGTCCCCAAACTATAGTGAAAAAAATGAACCTGATGCACCTAATCTACTAAATCTCACAGCTTAGGCCAGTGTTCCTTAAGTGTGTTTAGAATGCTTGTGTTAGCCTACAGTTGAGCAAAATCATCTAACAAAAGCCTACTTAATGTACAATGTTGAAGGTCTAGGATACTATTGAAGACCTCTAAAAGTAAAAGATGCTTCTATGTACTTGACTTTTTCTGGTAATCAACATGGAAAGTCTTAAGCCAACCCACACTACTTTGGCAAACCTCCATGTAGCCATGCTAGCAGATGTGGCATGGAGTTCCATGGTGTTTCTGGTTTGCATTTCCCTAGTGACTAATGATGCCCAGCAACTTTTACCATAGCTGTTGGCATTTTCATTTCATATATTCTTTGGGGGGAAATGTCTATTGAAATGTTTAAAATGTCTAAATTTTTTGTTGTGTAGTTGTAAGAACTCTTTGTATATTCCAGATGTCATCTTACCAGATACATGACTTGAAAATATTTTCTCCCATACTGGGATCATCTTCTTACCTTTTAATGTATTTTTATGGACTCTATTTCCTATTTTGTTGCCTTTGTTTATGGTGTCATATCTGAAGAACCATTTTTCCAAATTCAAGGTTATAAAATATATCTCTACATTTTCTTCCAAGAGTAGTTTTACAGTTTTACCTTTTATACATCAGTGTATGTATGTATGTGTGTATATATATATATATATATACACATATACATATATTCTATATGATAGTTTAAATGTATATACATATGCTGTATATATATCTTCAATAAATTTTGAGTTAATATTCTTGTGTGACATGAAGAAAAAGTTCTTTACCCTTTTACATGTGAATATAGCAGTTATCGAAAATATTGCTTTTTTCCATTGAATGGCCTCCACGCTCCTTTGAAAATTAGTCATAGATACAAATTAACTTCTGGATTCTCAATCTTATCCCACTGATCTTTATGTTCATCACTAGAGCAACACAACTTTCCAAACACTGGAATGCTTGTTTGTTTGTTTGTTTGTTTGTTTGTTTGTTTTCTGGGTTTTTTTCATCATGAATTTTGAACTCATGAAGTTTGAATCTTCAGACTGTGTCCTTGGATACTGCTTTGGCTATTTGGATGTATTCATTCCATATGTGTTTTAGGATCAGCCTTTCCATTCTGTCAAAACACTGTACACACACATGCGTTTAATGTGGTCCGTGATGATGTGATGTATACACTAGTCATAATCTCATTTTACAGTAATGAAAGATGCAATAACTGGCCAGGGTGCCCCTAGTCTTCAGTTGGATTCATTTGCCTTTAGGTAACTCAACTCCAGTCTACGTGCAGAGTGGACAACTGTGGCTGTCCACTCTCTTCATGGCTCTCTTCGTCACACACAGTGATATAATTGTGTGTTCTGCTTTTTTTCATAAGGAGAAGCCTTCAGTGAAGGTTCACAGTCTGTCTTCTCCTGTAAGGACAGCAGTTAAGCTGCCTCCAAACCCATGAGACAGTCCTAATTTCTTACTCTTTTGTAACATGGATTATATTTTTTAATCTGAGAGCAACTCTTTGATGTGGCTGGTCACATCATGATTATATTCAATACTTAAATGGAAGAAATTAAATAAAAAATACAAAACAAAATGAATACAACTATTTATTTGAGATCACCAGGACAATGGATCATGACAGAAATCTGTAGCTTACTAGAAAAAAATACTGTAGAAATTCACCTTCCCTCCTGAACTATATTTTGGGTACAGATCTCAAAATCCTTCTGTCATGCATTGGAACAATGTACCTACAAAATGAGTGGGACCTTGCATGGGAATGTCAGCAGACATGATGGCAAAGTATATGTTCATTTATTTATGAGCAAATTAGAAATATAATGTAATCATTTGTTATTGCAAGTATTTTGGATTTTTTTTCTTGGTCTGTCACAATTGAAGAACCCTGTTAAAATTTAGTATCGTATTTATGTCGATTTCTCCTTTGGTTCACAGTCCTTGTCCCTGTGTTTAGGAGCTACAATGTCCCGTATTTACCTAAGTGTCATTCTGTAATGTATCTTTTATGAAAATAACCCTCTTCATCCTTTTTAAGTACAGGTGCCTGCTGCCAAGCTTAGCCTCCTGAGTTTGATGCTCAGAATCCACATAGTAGAAGATAACCAACTCCCACAAACTGTCTCTTGCCTTCCACACACACACTGTGGGACATTGATACCCACACATGCATACACACGTATAAATAAGTAGATGAACAAACAAATAATGTAAAGTATGTAGGAAGTATGACATATATACACATTTATTTGTTCTTATCCTCTCTTATATATGGGAAGCCATACAGCCTATTTGCTCATTTTTCCATTGGTTACCTATATGTCTTAATGGATCCTATATGAGATGGATAAAGTTGTACTGAGCCAAATGGTCAATGGCTTATAGGGGCCTTCAGTAAACTTCATGTGTCTCATGGGCTATTGATGCCCTCAGTTTGGTGGCAGTAAAGTATTCAGAGGAGACAGTGAGGCAGATCCATCCAAAATGTAACAGGAGCATCATGGGTCACTAGTGCAGGCATACACTATCTTCTCATGATGGGATCGTCTCAGGGGGTCTAAGAACCCTGATAATTGGGTTTCATAGCCAAAGAGGCTGATTAGACAAATATGGGGCTCGGAAAACTGTACATAGCCTGCGGATTTTGTACAATCTACAGCTTATGGCCTTTATATTTGTAAGTGCTTAGGAAAACAAAAGAATAGCGTTTGAGGAGACGTGACTGTCATATGAATTGAGCTTCTTCTGCCCATCAGCCCTGACAGCACAGCTGTATCCTCAATATGCTTTGTTTCTACACTGTCTCTGCCTGCTTTTGCACAAGAACAATTTAAACCGACACGTCTTCGCTGTAGGCAATGTTAAGGAGTGATAAGGACTCTGGAAGGAGGGGTGGCTTGTATACAAGAGGACTGCTTATCCAGAAAGGTCTTGGCGACAAGGAGGGGTTCCCTCATGCACCTCTCTAGGCATGCCCTCTTTATCCACCTCCTCCTGGATACTATTGACAGTGGTTGTCACCTATCAAAACCTTAGTGTAGGGTAACGTCCACATTCACAAGCAGCCATGTCGTGTGGTACCTGCCTGTCCCTGGAGCCTTTCCCTCCATTGTCAACCCACCTCTCCATTCCTTTCCTCTCATGAACTATGAGGCACCTGTACTTCCCTCAACTTGTAATGGTGTCTCAAATTCTAGACCGTCTGTGATATTATTGGTTCTGTAACTTTGCCTATGCAGTCTAAGTCTGGTGAAATCAAAAATCAAAAATGACTTTCTGAGAGATGCTACCAGAGGTATGGTCATTTCAGAGCTGAGAAAACTAAGCCACACTCATCCTGTCTCTGTGCCTGTGTTGTAAGGATGTTCTGAAGCTGCCACCAAGAGGTATGGGGTGAAATTGTCTTCTACTGAGTTCTTTATGGTGCATCCAGTCACTGCATGGTTACTGTCTTTCTCAACTTCTGCCTTACACAGGTATTCCTGTCACACCATTTGACATGTCCCTCAGTGACCCGTCTGTCACTCCTGAAGCCCCCGTCCTCACAGCACAGAATGTCACAGGTTTGTTGTATTTTCACCTACTCTACATTGTGATGCAGATTTCCTCAGTGGGATCCCACTGGTGACCATAGGGAAACTGACCAACACTGAGAAATGCCAGCTAGGTGGCTCAGGGCCTCTCGCCTTGGAAATAACACTGTGAATCAAAGAAAGTGAAACCAGGAAAGCACCCAAATGATAATATGACCCAGAAATTGGAGGGGGGACGACAAATAAAGGAACCGGGAGCGAAGGCCTCAGAGAGTCTGGAGCAAACCAAACTGGTTCACCTGGGCTAGCCCCGTTTCCCTACAGGCCTTGGGTGAATCGCCTTGAGGGACCTCCGTGCCATGAATCTTAAAAGGAAGCCAGTCATACTTGCCCTACAGTGTTTCTCCACAGATTAAACAGGAGGTCAGTCAGAATGCAGGTCCGGAGCCAGATGGATCCCCAAGCCTGCAAGCTGACAGTCATAAGCTCAGCTGGGTGTGGAGATAAGTGTGAGCCTGTGGTGCGATTGCTTGTGCGATCTCTCTCTCTCTCTCTCTCTCTCTCTCTCTCTCTCTCTCTCTCTGAGTGTATGTGTGTCTGTCTGTCTGTCTAGTTTTCTAAAAGGAAAAAGGTAGATGGTCTGTGTCTGTCTAGTTTTCTAGAAAGAAGAACATAAATGGTGTGTGTGTGTGTGTGTGTGTGTGTGTGTGTGTGTGTGTGTGTGTGTGTCTAGTTTTCTAGAAGGAAGAAGGTAGATGGTCTTCTGTGGACTTAGAGATGGGCTTAGAGAAGGCACTCCACATTTAAAATAGAGCCTCAGAAAGACTCAGATGGCTTCAGGATCATAAGTGAGTTGGAATGGTTGAGAAGTATCTACTGAAATGAGTGGAAGCAGTAGGTTTCAGAAGCCAAGGGGGAAAAATTAGGCCAAGTGCTTAGGACTACTTTTGGGGCTCATGGATCCAATTAACAATCTCACTAAAGAGTAACTTCAACATGAAGCCAACAAGAAGACATCAACTGGAAAACACGTAGAGCCCCTGGTAGACACACAGTGCTATATGACATGTATTCTATAAAGGACAGCTGTGGTGGGACAGGGCACTATTTATTTTCATGCATCAATTAATAGTCTAACAACAACACAGAGACATAAAAATTATAATTCTCATTTTCTCTGACAAAACTGTAAAGCACAGAGAAATTAAGTAACTTGCTTAAGTAATAGACATCCTGTGGTTGAATCCAAAGCCTATATGCTTAGCCCCAAAAAGAGATACAAAAAGCTTTGATGAATCTTTACTTTTTGGATATATTTTGCCACTCTCTAGAAATCTCAGTCCTAGAGAGCAGCAAAATATATCCAAATTCTTGGCCGTGTGAAACCATGTCATATGAGACAATTATTTGTAATAAAAACAGGAGACTTCGGCTGTGATAGTGTGAGGGCTTCATTGGTGAAAGGGCAGGAGAGAAAAAACTCTGTGGTGTGGACTGGTGGGGGAAGATTGATTCTATTAGGGCTTTGAGGAAATTTCCAGAAACCTTAACAGATGGGAAATCTGGTAGAACCATTGCCAAATGTTCAAATGAGACACAGTAAGCGTTCGGATTCAGACACCAGCCGAGCCATAAATCCAGAAGATTGACAGCCATGTGAGCCTCTTTAGGCTGGAATAGAGACTAGAGTGTGTGGAGTGTTGGCTGAGAGTGTCTACTGTCTCACTTTTTCACGTTTCCACACCCTTATGAAGTCATCACGTGTTCCTCTACATTTTCTCACACCCTTCCCCTCAGTTAATGAGCTGGTTGGCAAGTTTCTGGCCCAAGAATATTTGTTGGGTAGTAAAAGTCCACATTGAAATGACTAGAGGTAATACAACGTATTAGTTACTTTTCTGCTACTAAAATAAAGCACCATGACCAAAAGCAACTCATGGGAGAAAGAGTTATTTTGGCTTATGATTCCAGGGGTGAGTCCATGTGGTGGGAGGTGTAGAGAAATCACACCTGCAACTACAAATTTCAAAGCAGAGAAATCCATTAGAAAGTGAGGCAAGGCTGTAACTTCCACAGTCTGTCACCAGAGCCATACTTCCTCCATCTAGGCTGCACTACCCTGTAACCTCAGCATAGTTCCATCAACTGAAAGTCAAATGTTCAAACACTCACTTGAGCCAACAAAAATACTTTAGTGTTGAAAAGTGACCAATAACTTCCCCCAAAAATGGTTAAGAATAAGAAATCCTTTTAGCACTGGACAACCAGTTGGTATGTTCTTCCCCGGGGAAGGACATTCCTCCCATTCCCAGCATTCCTCAGTCACCTATAGTTCTCTGAAAACATATATACAAATAGAATTATGTAGGCTGAACAGGTAATATTTAGGAATTTATATGTATATACATATACATATGTGTGTGCAATAACAGTGTTTTATAAAAGAGGCCATAAATTTGAAGGGCAGTGGGGAAGGGTCCATGGGAGGTTTTGGAGAGAGAAAAGGGAAAGGAGAAATATAATAAATTATAATCTCAAAAAGAAAAAAGGAAATCTGTAGGCAGAGCTTTTCTGTATCTTGGCAGCCACTCCCAAATAACCACACAGAGACTAATATTAATTGTAAGTGCTAAACCGATAGCTTAGGCTTGCCACTAACTAGCTCTTACAATGGAAATTAACCCATTTCTATTCATCTATGTGCTGCCAGAGGCTCCTTTACCTCATCTATGAACTTCTATGTTGTTTCTTCTGTGTCTGGCTCACGACTCCTCTGACTCCACCCTTCTTCCTCCCAGCATTCTCTCTACCCTGAAAATCCTGCCTTTTTGTTAACAATGAAAGCAGCACATTTTCACAGTGTACAGAAGGATTATTCCACAGCAGAAATCCTCTTGTTTTAAAATATTTTTTTTTTGTAAAGACATATGCTACTTATTATTCTGACTTACTTTGAAAACTTTACTTTTCAGAACTGAGAAGAATTGAACACCCTTTTTCCGAGCCAGGTATGTTGGTGTGCGTTAATGAAATGACAACCATTCCATTTAAATTGTAGTGTTTTCGTTTCATATGCCGAAGAAGTGACAGGGTCTATGCCACTGTGAATATATGCCATTAATGTCAGTGACAAAAACAAACAGTCCTGATTTTGAAGGAAGAACTTTTTTTTTTAAACTTTGGAAGTAGCAGTACATGATTTGATCTTTTGTTTCTGTCAGTGAGTGTGCAGGAAGTAGACCATAACAAGACAATGCTTAGAACACAGGTGACCTGGAGAATAGTTCTAATTCTGCTCTCCTGTGGTCTGACTGGGTAGCTCAGCCTCATTCTACTTGATTTACTCATTTATAAGCTGTTTGTACTTACTTTCCTTCCAAACCTGTGATTCTATGATCCATTTCATACCCTTTGATACATGAAAACATTGTTTTCTCTCATAATGTTCAAACCATCAGAGAGTTTGTGGCTCTTCCCAATCAATGCCAAATACCAACCAACTCTTGTCTGCAATTATGCCTGCAAAGAACACCGAACTTGGCATCACAACTCCAGGGTCCTGGTTAAATTCACTGTGTGGCTGAGATGCATAAAGTTCCAGACGCCCACAAGGTTACCATCAAAATCCAAAGTTTTTAAAGATTAAATGTGGACAAAACTATGAAGTATTGATGCATTTTCTGTGAGCAGGCAAGGTTTTTCACATGACACAGTTGATTCTTCACTTTCTTTTATCTCCCATAGTGACAATAGCCATTGTTTTGGGGGTGATCGCTGGCATCGTTGGAATTATCCTTCTCTTTTATTACTTAATCAGCCTAGTAACCAAGGTAAGAGTTCACTGTCCATCCTGTTTTAAGTACCAGTGTGAACAACTTAGGGCAGCATAGTCTTCTGAGTACAACTGGGACACAAAGAGAAGCAAAATTTTGTAAAGCTCCATCCTTTTTAACTGGACACCTAAAAACACGGAATCCTCAACTGAACCGTTTTTTGCATTTGCCAAATTTAAGGTGACTTCTGCATATAAATCTATTTGAGCTAGTCAAATTTCTACTTGTATTTAATTTGTGAATAAAATATTTATTTAAGACAATATGTCATACTTAGATACATTTAAAACTTCTTATTTCCTTTTTAAGATTGATATTGTAAGTGTGTGTGTGTGTGTGTGTGTGTGTGTGTGTGTGTGTGTGTGTGTGTGTGTGTTTGCATGAGTTTGGGTGTACCATATCTATGCAATTGCCTCCAGCATCCAGAAATGATCAGATCCCCTGGAACTGGTTGTAACCAGCCCAGTGTGGGTACTGGGAACCAAACCTGGGTCTTCTGTAAGATCAGTCACTGCTCCTAACCACTGAGCAGTCTCTCCAGACCCACTTCTACTTATTTCTTTTTTTTTTTTTTTTTTTTTGTTTTGTTTTTCGAGACAGGGTTTCTCTGTGTAGCTTTGCGCCTTTCCTGGATCTCACGCTGTAGACCAGGCTGGCCTCGAACTCACAGAGATCCGCCTGCCTCTGCCTCCCGAGTGCTGGGATTAAAGGCGTGCGCCACCACCGCCCGGCTACTTATTTCTATTCTAGCTGTTTCTGAAATAAATTATTCAAAATTGACCTCTGAATTTTCACCATGTGAATTTTTAATCATTAAAGCTATTTTTTAAAGACATATACAAGACTATACTTTCAGGAATTATTTCTATAATTTGTTAAATACATATTCAACAGCTTTCTAGATTATATAGGTTTCTACCTAAGATATTTGAGACACAAACCTTGTACATTTGTGATACTGTCCCTGGATCTGTAGTGCTGTGTCCTATATCCCAAGCACCAAGTCATATAAGATTGACAGCTGGGCATTTCGCATCTTCTATTTTTTTTTTTTTTTTTTTTTTTTTTGGTTTTTCGAGACAGGGTTTCTCTGTGTAGCTTTGCGCCTTTCCTGGTACTCGCTTTGGAGACCAGGCTGGCCTCGAACTCACAGAGATCCGCCTGGCTCTGCCTCCCGAGTGCTGGGATTAAAGGCGTGCGCCACCACCGCCCGGCCCGCATCTTCTATTTTTAATCTCTCCCTGATTGCTCCACCATAACCCTGATCTGTCTGTATCATACTGATAAAGTTAGAGTGGCGACCACACTGTGGTAGCAGGGCCATCACACTACAAATGACAGGAAATCTGCACCATCTCTTTGCTTGGATCTTCAGCCACTTTTATAGGCAGTTCCCACAATCAGTCAGTTCTATCACTAATTCTCATTATTCAGTGTAAATATGTCTTCCTAGTCAACACTTTGTTAGTCAAGGTTACACATTTCATTATTTATTAGTAGTTTAGCTGTATATTAATTTACGAGTGCTTGCTTGTTATCTAAGATATGCCAGATATGAGATGACTCCTTCATCTCAAGTCTATACATTGTAGAAAAGTCATCTTCTCAGAAAATATGTGAAAATGAAATTGTCTCTTAGCTAATGTTCAAACCCTGAAATGTTCAGTTGGCAAAATTCATAGAATATTCTCTCTTTATATACGGAAGAATATGGGTCCGGACAACATGACTCTGGAAACGTACTTTCTTCATTTTTATTCTTATTTCCACATTTGCTATTTGCAGAGAATATGGAAAAGTCACTCTATAGGATAGTATGACCCCTGTTGAATTGAAATACTATTTAGAAATTTGGATATAAATTTAAATCAGTGAGCTGGGCATGGTGGCCCACACCTTTAATCCCAACACTTGGGAGGCAGAGACAGGTGGATCTCTGTGAGTTCGAGACCAGCCTGGTCTACAGAGGGAGCTCTAGTAGGACAGCCAGGGCTACACATAGTGAGATCCTGTTGCAACAAAACGAAACAGAATTTAAATCAGTGTTCATATGTATCTATGAGATAGAGACTTTTCCCAATAGAATTAGACTGTATAACTTTCAACCAAAAGTAAAGGAGTTTAGAAAAAATGATTTTGTTTGAGGCACTTTTGTTTGATTTAGAAAATGGTGGTGATAGTTTTTTGGGTTTTGTTCCTAGAAAAGTTCAGTTGACATACACCCTCCCAAGAGTGAAGACACAGACGTGCCTCTAAGTTCTATTGAACAGGTTAGTGGTGTTGTCTCTATACATTGTAGAAAAGTCATTTTCTGTGAAAATGAAGTTCTCTCTTCGGTAATGCTTAAACCCTGAAATGTTCATTTGGTGTTTGGGGAAAGGAATGGATTAGTGAATTCCATCTTTCTGAATCATGGGGAAGCAAACTAACTGGATTCACCAATGCTAATTTTTTTTTTTAATGTGAGACTTGCTCATAGCTTAAAGAGAGTCTCTCCTAGGTAGAGGGTTTTTTCTTTTTCTTTTTCTTTTCTTTTTTTTTAAAGTAAAACAAATTCTGTAAGTGAAAGAAAAAAACAACAACATTCTTTTAGTGTACTCCTTAGTTCCCAACCAGCAAAGCAATACATGTGGGAGACCCAACCATGGTTCGGATGTGATGCTCTAGCTGTAGAGGCAGCCAGCTTCCAAACCTACATCCCACCCCTTAGCTTACAACCTTGAGGAGTTACCCTTTTCTTCCGCCAGCACACAGAGTGGCAATTGTGGATTGGAGGGTAGCCTGGGCTATGGAGCAAGAGTCTACATAGAATACATATGCCTGTGAGCTCACATCAGCACTTTAGACTCCTATCACTCCCTGGAGGACCAGCCTCCAGGAGCAGCGCAGGGCTCAAAGGGAATCCACGGAGTTGGCACTAAGTATGACTTTTTTATCTGAGGGGGTTAGAGAAAGAGACACTCACACATTCTCTTGATGGTTTCCTTCAGACCTTCTCTTTATTCTTCTTTCATATTCTCAATTCTCTATTTTCCTGGTGATTTCCTTCTCTCATCCTTGATTTTTTTTCTTCTAACTTTATCTTCATTCTTCATGTTTTTCTTCTAATTCTATCTAACTCTGGATGTTTTCCTTCTAACTCTTTCTAATGCTGAATGTTTGTTTTCCTTCTAACTCTATCTAACCCTGGGTGTTTTCCTTCTAATTCTTTCTAAATCTATCTTTATTCTTTCCCTTACAGCTTATATACCCCAGCAAAATCTTTCAGGCAATATAAAAATTACTATATGGTTACATTCTATTTTCCAAGTGAATGGTTATAATGAATATAGGTAAAAACATGTTTTTCATCTCCCTTACATGATTAAAACAAAGTCATCCCAAGAACCTACATACATTTACATCTAAGAAACTTGTTGTAGATTAACAGAATGTAAGCAAGCAGGGCATTTTTTTTCTACCCATTTCTTTTTCCTGGCAGGCTGCATAGTGTGGTTACAAATAAAAGAATCAATCACTTTATTACTTATTTTGAAAGGTAATCTAATAAGGAATCTTAAAAGAATCACAAATCTAAATTTTTATACATGAAAAACAATCAGTAAGCTCTCCTTTAAATCTTTAGGGTGCATACCCACTCATCAACAGTTTTTTATATCAGGAGATTCAGGACAGAAATGGGTATAAAGAAATAATCATCACCTTTGGTCATCAGCCAGTCCAACCAAGAAAGGCACATCAGCTCATGATAACTGGGCTTCTTTGTTCCTGTTTCCTGACCTTAAAGAGTTCCACATTCAACTATGTGCCTTTCTGAAACTTTAGAAAGTTTCTTGGGTTTTTCACCTCAAAGCTATTTAACAAAAACATCTTAGCCTAACTTTAAGTTATTTTCAAAGCTTTGTTTCAGCTATGATGCACTCCAAAACCTGTGAACATATCTCCCAACATTAAGGTTTAAAGAATTTAAGCTATCTGGGCTACTGGGACTCAATTGTTTTTCTTAATCATTAACCAAAGCCACAGTCTATATGACTCCTCAATAGAAACTTATGTGTTCCAGCTGTATGACACTTTGTTTTTTGTATTTTTAATCATCAAAACTCTATTTCAACAATATTATTATCAATTAGATAGTACAGCTTAGGAAGAAATCATCTTCATAATAATCCACAGGTAAAAAAAAAAAATGCCCAGTCTAGTGGGATGTTTCCATGAGATAAACACACTACATTACAAGCAGTTGGGATCTCTCCACACCCATTCACACCATGCCAGATACTAGAGAAAGATGGCAGCAGCAAACATGTAAAGGCACAGCAGAAGCAAAAGACATTCTGGAGTCTGTGGTCTCAGGGCCTTTCCTATCTGAGATTCACCCTCAGGGATTTTCCTCCTGGTGGGCTGACGCCTGAACTTCAATTGCCACCTGCTGCTCCTCTGACATGGCCACCCCACCGGCAGACTCCGTTCCTAAATGACCTCCTTGCACCTCTGCAGCAAGTCTGGGCCCCTGCATTTACTTCCATACTCAGGTGCCAAGTTGGTACACACATGCAAGATTTCGGGGATGTTTTGTTCATCCCGGAGAATATTGGCCCAGGGTCATTGTTTAAAGAAAATTTATTACCAACCTTAAAGGTGGGAAATAAGTCAAGCACAGTGCCACTCACCTTTAATCCCTCACTCCTGGAGGCAGACTCAGGTGAGTCTGTTCAGTTCAAGGCCAGCCTAGTCTACATAGTGAATTCCAGGACGGCCAGGTCTATGCAGAGAGACCTTGTCTCAAAGACAAAAACAAAAGTGGGAAATTTTTACATCTTAAAAACAAAGTGCAAGCTTTCCCTCTGAGAAAAATGTAAACTTTAACAATCCCTGGGGCAGGGAAAGCGGGGAGAGGTGGGAGGTGGTGGGGAAGGAGGGGCAAGGGGGCCTTCATACCAGTAAGAAAACAATTCAGAGTGTCTGAGTGAGTGTTAGTGGTCCCTCTACAGTCTGTCTGCATGAACAGTCTTGGTATCACTCCACTCATACAGTTCTCAGGAAATTGTGCCTGAAGTGTCAACCTAAGTAGTATGCACTGGGGGAGACGTCAGTCGAGAACAGTGAGTTAGAATGCTAAAAATCAATTGAAGCTTTTCCCATATTAATTATTAACACTCATAACACGTGAATCAAATTTTAGGCTCATTGTTTTCCCATATCAGTGTAGATTAAATTTTTCGGGGTATAGTTGTGAGTGAAATGAATTAAGAGTTCAAACACACCCCACAAGAGATGTGAGAAAACACAAAAATCATTAAAAATGCTTTACAGAATACTGTCCCAAACTGATGCTGAAGCTGAAGGCTTAAGAGGTCAGGATGCTCTGTGGCCTCTGTAGAAACCAGGAATCTTCAGGGATGAGCGAGGCAGAGAGTGCTTACCTTCCTTGTACTTGGTCATGATGTGGGCTTGGTGGGAAACTAGAGTAAGTAAATTTTAGTCAACTGCCCCACGGTGGCTTCCTCACATGACCCTACCAGCCTCACGTACCCTACTAGGCTCTGTTTCACTGGGCATATTTGAGATACCGTCCTGTGGTATCAAACACAAGAAGATTGGGAAATGCTATTGGGACAAATGCTCTCACGTCCCTTTTGTGTATTCTTGAGACATGACGTGACCTAAGTGCAACCTTCCAGTCAAGAAGGTAGGGCTGTGGGGTACACTGAGGGAGCTGGCTGAGTGCCAGTTCCTCTAAGCAGTCAGAGGAGTGCAGCAACATGCTTCTGTGCAGGTTCTTCATAAAGGACCTTATTCCTAAGAAAGACCTCACAGACTGGGAGCTTGCCTTCAATTTGACCATGTGTATGTAAATCAACTTACTTTGTTACTGTTGTGGCTCTAGGCCCTGCCGCTACCCACTTTCTGTGGTTTCTCATCTCTGGAGAAGGGAGGAGCAGAACTGTGTTTGTTTCTCACCTGGGATTTCTAAAATAGATCTTCAAAAGGAAAAACTTTGTGCCTTTCTTAAAACAAACAAACAAACCCTCCAATAGAGCTAAACGAAGGCTATTTTATAACAATCACCTTCAAAGACTACTCCAAGAATGTAGCATCCTGGCATTTATTGGATGCAATGATCTCACGTTGTTTCAAATCTAACGGTGTCCTGTATGACTGTTTTGTACCCGCCCCATCCTTCTACAGAGCATTGTTCAAGAAGAGCCTGCCGATGTTTGAAAGACCTCAAAGACAAGACAAGACTTCAGTCAATGGAAAAAGTAATACAAGAATCAGACATCTCAGTAAATTATGTACCTTCCTGAGCTGTACTGTTATAAGAGAAAATGTCACCATTTGAAGCTTCAAGATGGGGGGCGGTGGGGGAGGGACACCTCTTTTCATTAGTAACTGAAGATCACCTGGGTAGGGGTGGGGGGACTCCTCTTTTCATTAGTAACTGAAGATCACATGGGTGGGGGTGAGAAGGACACCTCTTTGCATTAGTAACTGAAGATGAAGAACAAGTTTCCTTGTACATTTCGTGTTGGTAAAAAAATTTTGTAACTACTTGACTAGAAATTTTGCTCCAAAATTTCAATTGAGTTTATATGCTGTCCATTAAGACTGACTTATTCGACTGTGTTATATTTTGTTCATAATATTATCATTGAAAGGCCTATACTATCTCCATGAAATCCAAGTTCCTTTATCATTCTAACTGCTGAATTCAGCTTCATTGTTTTAAATAAACTAAAAGGCCAGCAAGTCCTACCCCTGTCCTTCCTTGCCAGACAGGCAACACACAGTTTCATGTTAGTGGTGTGGGTGCTTTTCCCACACTAATAAGCTCACATTCAGAAATGCCACAAACATAAATGTATGCAAGGACATACATCTATTATTTGATATGTAAGTCATCACAAAAGTATTGGATATTTTGAGCAGTGAGTTGATTTTGGATGATTCAAAGTAATTTGCCTGACAGTGTTGGATTGACTCCTTCAGAGTGCAGACTAATGTTGCAAAGAGATGTTTAAAGACCAGAGTACCCTAAGGATGAAAATAATCATGGACCCATCCTTGCAATAGAAATCAGAAAGTAACTACAGCAATATGTATAAATATGAGGTGCAGGTGAAAACTTTAATGGGTAATCTGAGTTCCCAACAAACTTCTTGAATCCATCTAGTGAAAGCTTCCCTTATTAATAAAACTTTGGGAAATGAATTATCAAAAAGAAATTTCTAGATAGAAGTGACTAAGGAACTTTGTGACTAGACTTGACACTGTACTCCTTTGTAGCAAAACTTAAAATAATCAATGTTTTTATTAAAGAGGACTTGAATTTGGGAGGGGTGGGGAGGTAGAGGTGGATCTGGGAGTGCCAGAGGGGGTAAGAGATGAATATGTTCAAAATACATTATATGAAATTCTCGAAGAATTAATAAAAATACCTTCTAAAAATCAAAATAAAACAAGACCTGTGACTATCTATTTCCAAGTTGACAAGATTCCATATGGCTTTGCCTTGTTTTCTGATAACTAAATAGCTACAGTACATACTTAGTCCAAGAAATTTAAATCTACTTTTAATAATTTTTTAAAGAATCTACTTACATGTTCAGAGAATGCTTTATGCTTGTCACTTATTTAAAATAAAGAATGGAAATAAGAGAATATTTGTTGATATATATTTTAAGTAGATTTAAGAACATTATTCAGTTATTATAATTCAATGATGGTCCAAGTGCCAAGGTAATTTTAAATGTACTTATTTCAAACAATATAAAATGCTACACTAAGAGGGGACCTGAGTCTAACCTTGTGTCTAAAGCAATTTACTGGTCAGAGACAGTAAGAGATTAGAGTAACGTTCTGTCTCAACAGAGCTCTGGAATGCAGAGGATAATTAAAGTACAGATTGCTTTACCCCCCTGGAACTGTTCTGGGCAGTTTCTCTGTGCATCTCAATTGGCTTTCACATTGAAATTTAGTGTTTGCTTGAAGAAGTGACCTTTAGCCTCTTTGTATTTTTTTATAATTAAATTGGCAAAAAAAAAAAAACAAACCAAAAGCAGAAAGAACTCTTTCCTGTGAAGACATCAGGACCCTATGCACGACTGTAATTGAAGTTCTTAAAATTGGGGATTGAGGTGAGCAAGGGTGGTGAAGCTAGTTAGAAAACTTATTATTAGATGCTGGGTGTTTCCTTATAGAGATGTAAACAGAGGGTCCACATGGAAGAAAGAAGCATTCAGTGTGAATAAGAAATTCAAAGAACCGGGGAAGAGTGTACAAGCCTAGTGTTGCTGTGGTGTTAACATACAGTGATGCACCCATGTCCTGTGTCTTAAACATTTAGTCTACCAAATAGCTATTTGCACAAAAGAAACTCCTGAAATCCAGAAGCTGGTCAAATAAAAGATAGGAAAAATTCTACCCACAGCATGTGTGTGCCTGCGACAAGTCAGGGCTGACATGTCATGTCCCCAGCTCTGTCCCCCTGGAAGGCATCCACTGGTGGCTGCAAACTCACTTTCTGCCTTTGTTAGAATGACAGCAAAGAGTGGAATATTCAGAGAAGGGCTTTATCTCTAAATGCATCAATCACCCCAAGGGTATAACAGGTCATTCTGGAGTGTTCCTGGGTCAGAAGTCTCGGAAGGATCCATGAGACCCACAGTCCCCCAAAGGAAAGGTAAACCCAGTGACCCCAGTCTTCCCATGCTCTGCCCTCTTATTCACGGACACACTCTGTCTTGCTCACAGGTGACATAAAGTGGAGGCATAACAGGCCCTGGTCACATGCTGCATCTCTTCCCTTGATTGACAGGAAGATGAAGACCTCTGCTCAGCCTTTGCATAAATGTGTATCATAACTCCCAAGATGACTTCTTTGGATATGTAAAAATATAGGGCGTTTTGGAAACCTTGGGACATGATGACATCATGATACAAACTACAAGTTCTACAATTAAGAAAGGGTGTTAATAAACCTACAACAGCATGTGAAAGATGATGAGTTCTATGTAAAGAGCTCAATGTTGGGGGCGGGTGCTGTTTGCAGAGCTAAATGCTAATCTTAGGGTGTAGGATTATAGTCAATCTTGGTCTTTTCCTTTCATTTTGTTTGAGATTCTTGATAGTCTATAATATGCCCAGTTATATTTTCAAAAAGTTGAAGCCATTAACATTTTCAAAGTTAAAGACAAACCTGAACATGACAGCTGCTAAGACACATTTCCCTTATGGATAGCCTACATGGGATTTACCTATGACTGGCCAGAAGAGTCATCCAAAGTTCTGAGTTCTTCCCGGGTTCCATGTCCAATGTGTTCCAGTGACTATGAGAGCAGCTTGCAACTTAGGGACAAGAATTCCAGCCCTGCAGGGGTCATCTAAAGAACACTTCAGTATAGATGGGCTTGAGAATCGAACTTAAGAAGATTAAGTGGTATCCTGTGATTTGAATACAGCCCTGAACTTCTTCTTTCCAGAGTTATGAACAGAGTTTAATCTGGGCTTGCATCACCAGTGGTTGAACATTATTCAAAGAAGGTTATTAATTAGGGTTTCTTTCTTGGTGTAAGTCTCTTAGAAATGGTTTTGTCAAATGCTAGCAGTGTATCACTCACTATAACACATTTTTCAGCCTCAGTTTAAGTTACTCATGGATTGTCCTTGACCCTTCTCTTGGCTTCTTTCTCTGGTAAGTGGTGTTATTCATAATAGGATGCTCTGAAGACATTATTTATTCAATTGAATAGAATTGTGATTGAATTATGGTTTCAAATATTGCCAATTAGTGTGAAAATCATTTGCCTTCTCAGTTGAAAGATAACATCTTTCTATCAAAAGTATTCAGTTTAATATGTCTTAATGTAAGTAAATTAAATTCTTTCTGGTATTACTAATATATAGAAGTGCTAAATATTTTAATTTCTTCACATCAAAGTATCTCTACTAATAGACATTGGGGCATATTAATTTTCCATTTTTATAGGTGAAAAATCTGAGACACAAAGAGCCAAAGTAATTTTCCAAATAGGTCAGTATGCTATTTCAGCATTCCAACAAAGGCTGACCCAATGGTCTAAGCAGATGACCGATGTCCTATACTGTCTCCAAGACAAACTCATAATGAAGTGTATCCCAAAAGTGGTTCTTACACATGCCTACATTGCTCCTGCTCCATCGTGGAGGTAATATTTGGCCATGCCACAGGTGACAGAGGTTGTACTATTGGTACACAGTGGGGAGAGGTCAGAAGACAGGAGACACCCCATCTTCCCCACAGCCTACACACACACCACAAAGAACCATTTAACTCAAAATGTCACTATGGTTAGGTTGAAAATCCCTTAGCTAGAAAACCAAAATGTGTGCAAATAGCCATAAGTATTCTGAAATGAAAAACAGTGCATGGAGCTTTTCTGTCCAGGAATTATAGTACAGTAGAAGCTATACCAATTAGATATTAATCAAAATACCAAAGTATAGTAAGGAAACAGACTTTATGCAAACATGTAACACAGAACTCATTTACAGACACTATGAACCTAACACATAGTATATAGAACATAAGCAACACAAAAGCAAACTGAAGGCAGCCGACATGTGATTTGGAAAGACTGAAAACTAACTGAACATGAGCTCCAGAAGACAGAAAAAAGAAAGAAGTCACTTAAAGGAAAGAGAAGAGAGGGATGAAGTCGTCAGCACAGCAGGTAGAGTGAGTTGCTGGGAGGGAATGCTGCAGAAGACAGTGTGGCCAGAGTCACTTGAGTGTGAACAGTCAGCAGACTGCGTGCAGGAAACGGAGATCTTGAGATGCTGGACCTGTGTATCGTGGAACTATGGTTGTTGAGAAAGCGGAAGTAACGAGTCAGTTCTCAGCTTGGAGAATTTTTAGGCCCCACTGAAATCCTCAAGATAGGCAGGACTGAGTCAGAAAACACGAAGGTGGCTAATATGTGTAACCAAGACCCAAGATGAAAAACAGGCAATAAACATAGAGATTTAAGAATGTTCTGGTCAGTGCTTGTAGGAAAGAAAACTTATCACGTAAGTGTTTGAGACCTATTTCATATCCAAAGGACCACTGGAAAAACCTCATCTTTCTCTGAGTCTAAATGATATGGTTGGGGGTGGTGGCATAAGACCATTCAGTAACAAAATGCTATGGCCTTTCAACTAGCTGTGTGATTCACTGGATTCTCGTGCATCTTTAGAGGCCACAGACGTGCATATCTACCCAGGGAACGGGAAATGGAACTTGGGCTCTTGCGAGATGCCTTTCATTTAATGAGCTGGCTCATTCTTGCTAGGAGTAATTGTGGAAATCATCAGACACT